TTTAATAGTTTTCATCATTTTGGTAAAGATTAAGAATTGGTTTGGCCGTTAATACTTAATTTTACATTTTTTCATCTTTTTTTATAAAATTCTAAAATACTATTGGGCACAAATCAATTATTTAAAATTCATTGTTTTCATTAATTTTCAATTGCATTTGGATGTGCTTTGTATAATCATTCTTTAAATATACTTTTTATGATCGATTTAATTACATTAGAAAATAAAAATGAGACAGTTGTCTATACTTCTTCTACCGTATAGAAGTCATAAACTTCCTCCTATCTAGTCATTCAAAAATTTAGATCTAGTAAACCACCGATCATTTGATCTAAATTTGACATGTCAGATATTTTATTTTTAATTTTTTTTTACAAATCAAATGAATATGAAATTTGATGTGTGCTATCATCTCAATGAGATGTACCTAAAAAATGATAAAAATAAAATAAAATGACCAAAATACCTATCAAAATATCTTAGGGGTATTTTGGTTATTTTATTTTTATGGGGAATATTTTTTATTTTTTGCAGTGTAAGTTTAAGAACGGATGAACACCAAAAACTTGGTGTCAAAATATTTTGTAGAAAAATAAAAAATAAAACAGTATAGATGTGTGACATTGTGATTGGGTCCATCTTAGCCGTTCGATATTAGTGTAGATGTGAGTCATCGTGATTGGGTCCATCTATCTGTTCATATCTGACAGTTGTATAGTGGAAAATATATAATTTTTATACAGTACGGAAAGCAGAGAAGACTTCCCTTTAGAAATATATGCTATGTCTTCCTAATTTAAAACTTGGACAGGTAAGTTGGTTTTTTAGCACGATTCGCTTGCCCCAACAGTTGTAGCTTTCATTTTTAAGCTTTAGGAAATTGAAAACTTCATCCTTTTTATTGAGAGTTTGTCCTTTCCTGAACAACTGAAGCATTTTTCCAGAAAGAGCATGAAAAAAATCATTTAGAAGTGTTTTTATATCACTTTATTGACTCGTCAATCAAATAATATAAATACCCGTAATTGTTGCTCACTAGAACCATGAACAACATGTTATTTGATTGTAATTGTAATTTAGAAAAGGGAAAAGTTTATATAAGGTTGCAACCTTAAAATGTAGAATCACATATGTACCTTAAAAATCTATCGGAAATGTTGTTTTAATGTTGAAAAAACCCTCTAATCGTTCATCTCGACATCGAAATGCATGAATATGAAAAAAAACAGCTTTTGAGTCTTGAAAATAGTGTATCTTGCAACACATTATCTAGACCGTCAATTTTCAAGGTTTTCATATATTTATAGATCTACTTGCATTTTAACCATTTTTGGATTTAAAATTTTCTAATTAGGTATGAAAATAGATTTTAAGATAATACTAAGTGTTTTTTACAACAAAATTACATGTTATAATAAAATTTTAAAGTGCGCCTTAATTGGGTTGTTTAAGGTTGCAACCTTATAGAAACCGCACCCTTTAGAAAACCACTTAAAAGGAAGAGGTTTATATAAGGTTGCAATTTTAAAATGTAAAATTAAAGATGTACCTAAAAAATCCATCGGAAAAGGTTGTTTTAATGTTAAAAAACCCTCTAATTGATCATCTCAACATCTTGACGTATCAATATGAAAAAAACAAGAGTTTGAGTATGAGAAATAGTGCACCTTGCAACACATTATTTAGACCATCCTTTTTCAAAATTTTCATATGTTTATAGATCTACTTGATTTTAACTTTTTTTGAAGTTTAAAATTTTATAATTGGATATAAATATAGATTTTGAAATAATCCTAAAATTTGGTGGCGCCCCTTAATTGGATTGTTTAAGGTAAACCACACCCTTACTTAAATGCTCATTATTGGTTAAACTTCCCAACCTTGAATACATGCAATTCAGGATTATTTTAAGGATGTGTTATTTTGCAGGTCGGCTTCCAAACCTTTTGGTCAATTCATGGAAGGGGCAGATTCCATTTCTTCCCCACATTCGATCAAACTACTTGGTGTCATGGTATAATCCAATCACGTGCTCCACATTCAATCAAATTTGTCGATGCCATGTCTGATTTTCTATTTTTTTATACACAATATACCCAAACAAATTGTCCCCCTGAATGTCGTGTATTTAGTTGATGCAAAAAGTAAGACATTCGACAACAACTGAGTTTTCAAATTTATCGTTTTTTAGATGCATGCCTTCTAAGGGCTTACTCCAACCTATATGGTGGTACCTTTGTGTTTACTCCGAGCCTTTTTTTTTTTTTTTTAACATTTACACATGACTTTTATTAACTATAAACCTAGGAGTAACACATGACTTATTAACTATGAACGTTTACTCCCATGTCTGTCTGTTTGTTATTTTTTTTATTTTATTTTTACCATTAACACAACTTTTATTAACCTGAGAGTAACATATGGTTTACTCCCAAGTTATTCGTCTAAAATGAGTACCTTCAGGGTTTACTCTAACTTCTTGGGTTGAAGTTGGTTTAGCTCAATCAAAAGAGACATGTCGGACTCTATGTGACCTATCTGCTAATGTGTAGAAGGGCCTTTCAGGAAAGTAACACTTCATTTCAAAGATTTCTTATTTATTAATGAAAATTGGGTAAGGGGCCTTCTCCCTCATTAACTTACCTAAAAAAAAAACACTTCATTCCAAGGAGAGGTATCTCACTGGTACCTTATTAAAGGTTCGATCCCATTCTTGAGGTGTCTTTCAGGGCTTGCTTCTGTGAGTCAATGCACAAAGGTAATGTCAGGTGTCTGTTAAGAGCATGCTCTTAAATCATGACTTTAGATTGCATTTTAAGAGCTCGCTCCTAGATCACAAAAAAAGCCCAAGCACCTTGATTTATTCCCAGGTGTTTTTATAGCTTGGATCCGAGTTACTTAAACGCATTTTATTTAAATAATATATTTATCTTAATTTTAAGATATAAGATTATTTTTTTAAAAAATTAAATAAAAAAATTAAATATTTTAAATAATAAAATGCCTTAAATTTAATTTGATAAATACCTTAAATTTAATTTGATAAATATTATTTATAATATAAAATATTTTTATTGATTCTATTCAATTTTACTTAAAAAAAAAAAGACAAGCTAAATCTCAAATTTTAAATTCATATTATTTTAAATAAAAAAATAAATTCATTTTTACCCTTGGGAGAAATTTATATAGAGCTGAGGCTCTAAACAATCAAATTACAGCCACCTCAAACATTTCATAGGTTGTTTAGATGTTCAAATATCCTCAAATGGATACTCAATATTAAGATGCATGGATGTGAAAAAAAAATGGATTTCAAATTTTGAAAATAGTGTATCTTATAATACATTTTTAGAACGTCAAATTTAAAAATTTTCAAGTTTCCATAAATATGTTGAATCGACATTATTTTTAAAACTTTAAATTTTATAATTAAAAATAAAAATATATTTTAAAGTCATCACAAACATTTCTCACAATTCTCGATACTATTTGAAGGTACGTATTGTTTAGACTTTAGAGCCTCGGCCTTATACAAGCGGCATCCTTCCGTTTGGCACCTTTGAAAATCGTCCGCTCGTGGAACCAAGTACAAATGAACCCCGTCACTCCCACCTCTCTCTCTCTCTGTCTGTGGTTGGGTTGAGTAAGCGGCGGAGATGGCTTTTCTCGTTCACGTTGCTGCAACTTTTCGCTATGTTATGGCGGAATTTAGGGTTCATGGATTATTCTCGTGCTTCTTCTTCCCCCCTTTCAAACCCACCTTCAAAGCAACGCAAAATCCAACTGATTATTATTACTATTATTATAATCGTGGAAGTTGTTGGATGGCTGTTGCAGTTGAGCTGCACATTTCATCTTCAACAACAAGGTTAGACTTCTCTCTTACCCTGCCTTCTATCCCACGCATTCCATTCCTTTTCTTTACTTCTCTCTCCACAAGAATCTCACGAAACTAAAGCTTAAATCTCCATAATTGTTTTTGACAAATTATGGGTATTGTCTCATTTTCTAACATTTTATCATTGAAGGGATATGTGAATTGTGTTTACGAATATCAGTGCATTTTTTAGATGGGGCATTAAAATTTATAGGAGTTATTGATGTTTCCGAGAAGTTTTGCTTCCTGGTAATAGTTTTGTAAGTAATGTGGTTCTGTGTTGAGGCTTATATACTTTGATCCTGTGGGAGAGTGCGGGAAATAAATAGAAAATGCTGCAGACAGTTCGAAATGGATATTCAAATTGGCGAAGTGGGTTTTTTGGAGGTTAAATTTTTGATGGTTAAATCATAAATTTTTCACTGTTCTTATGCAATGAAAGGCTATCAAGTTCGACAACCAGATTCTTTAATGGGTTATGACGTTTTTCCAGAGAGGCAAACCTTTTTTGGCACCTCAAAGGGACTGCCGTCTATTGGCAAAAGGCAGACATTGTTTAGGAAACATGTAAGATTGATGACTTGTGCCATAGGTCTTCTGGTGTTGCTTTTCCTGTTAGATTCATTGATGCTATCTCTTATTCAGCAGAAGAACCTTCTGAAAGGTGTTCATGAGAAGAGTTTGAATGTGATTCAGGTTTGCTTTCTCTTCTTATGACTCCAACTTGCCCCTTTAGTTGTGGAAATAATATTTCTACGGAATTCTGGCACCTGGGTTAGGATTTTAGGGAGGTTGTCCAGTGTTGGTTTCATTTGAACTACTCGTTTTTCGTGGAATTCGGGTCCTCATTGTGAAATTTTATTCAGGGACTTTGTTTACTTGTTTTACTGGAAAATGGGATTCTGACATCTCGTCAGGTGTCCGAATCACCCGTTCTCAGGTTTCTATTACTTATAACATCTGGCTAACGCATGCCATGTGGATGCACATCTTCCAGCAAGAAAAATTTAGTAATCAGAAGCTATCATTCCTTTTAGATTTTTCATCGACCATGTTTAAACATGATCAATCATTTCCCTTCTTTCTTGCATGTTTGAGTGGGAATATTTTCCCTCTCATAGTGCTCCTGATCGTCCCACCTTGGAAATCATAAAGAAAAAACAGAATATCCAAATTAAGGAAGACTCTTCAGGAAATCATAAAACAGGAGGCAATCAATCAGCTACAGAATTTTTTTTTTTTTTTTGTGTGTTTGACTCAGCAGTCTAGGGTTCATTACTCGATGAAAAAGATCTGTGAAGAGAAGGAGATAGTGGCTAAATTCTGGGTACTACATAGATTATACTCAAGTCATTGCAAATGCAAAGCCCCTTGTTGATTGGTTGGTTTTGATTCCATTTTCATGAATGTGACCCACAATCCTTAAAGAAAATTTGAGGTTGAAGATGTCAGAAGACCTGACTTTGTACTCAACAGAGATGGGGCTGTAGGTATGGATTCCTATCCTTTCTTTTGATATCCTTTGGAACCAGCCAAAGATGTCTCTCCATGTCATTTTTCTGGTAAAACCATGCGAGAGATAAGCTTAACCTTGCTGGCATTGTGCTTTTATTGCTATCGTTCCCAATGGTGTGGACAAAGAGGACATCCAAGACTTAGATACATGTGTTTTGTTGGAAAGGTCTCTAAGCCTTTAGGTAATTTTTTTTGCTTCTAGGATGAAGAAGTTATAGTACCTATCTCCGAATTCACCTTTGTCCATGGCAGATAAATTGTCGTGTGGAGTTTTTAACGTGAATGTTTGATACGTTGATTCAAGACTCAAGGAAGGTATACCAGTCCTAGATATTATGTTGGTCTGGAGAAGGCCAATTTGAGTTGTGAACTTGGAAAAATGCCTATTACTGTGATCAAGTAATCAAGCAACCACCAATTGATGCAACTTTATGCCTTTTCATGCAGATCATAGGACCTGCAGAAAATGGATTAGGAAATGTATTTTTTATGATGTCCGATTGGATTGTGGTGATAGCTTGTTGATGCATTATTTGAGGAACTTAGGAGGCCTGGTCATGGTGGTCCATTGTGTCCTTTCTTTTTTACCTTGGTTACAATAGCCTTTAGTAAAATTATGGACAAAGATTTTTGTTGTGTCTTACTGTAGGTCTTACGATTAGTCTGCTGGTTGGGATTGTGACTTATCTGCAGATTGCATATTATTATTCAACGATTTAGTTTTTCAGAAGGCGAATTTTCACTATTTATTTTTTCAGAAGGCGAATTTTCACTATCATGTGACTCCTATTGGTCAATGCTATCTTACATAATAACTAATTATTCTCTGCCCTGTCATTCTTAGTAATAACCATATAAGGAATTTATGGCTTTTGAAAGTTTCTCATGATGCATGTGACAAAAAAATATATGTTGCATGTCTCATTGCAGGGTGAAAGGACTGAATTTGTCAAGGCACAAAAGGCTCCAAGAGTGATGTTTGAAGGTCTGCTACATTTGGCATCCCATGCTCTTGCTGAGGTCTTCTTTAATATGACCAATACTTCAATATTTTTCCAATAGCATGAATTTCTCTATACGCCTGATTTTATTCCTGAAATTTGACTCTTGATTTGTAGAATGAATTGAAAAATAATTTGCGAAAGCCATGGGAGGAACCATATTCCAAAGCAGCGGCATGGAAGCCTTGTGCAGATCAAAATAAACCTAGGAATCAAGGTGAAGTCATCTATTTCACTAACTTCAATCTTAAATAACTTTGGAGACCCCTGTGTGCTTTGCATGGATGGTGGAAAATCAATTTAAGAGGTTTTTATGGGGAAGCTCTTTCTTTGTTTGAGGTATGTGGAATTTATTTTTATGCAGATTTATGATATATATCTCATGCATAAATACAGGATCTGCAACTAAAAGCTATGGGTTTATAATGGTGAGCGCAAATGGCGGTCTTAATCAACAACGTGTTGCGGTAAGGTCGTTAACTGTGAAATTTATTTGATCATGGAGAAGATGGATAGCATCAAGAAGATTTCAAGCTATCTGATTCTTTTACAATTTACTTGTTTGGCTGCCTTAATTGGTTAGGCATATATCATCTAAAAGTTTTCTTTCAGTCTACGTTGAGTGCCTTGTAATCACTCCCACTTTTTGGATATTGTCCTTTTCATTACTTTTGTGTTGGGTAGGATATTGTATGGCAGTTGTACACAAACAATATGTAAATGTCATTAAATGATAAAAAGAAATATTTGGTAATAGAAAGAGAGGGTCTTTTTCTAGATTTTAATTAGAGAAGGGGATACTGGATGAATTTTGTTGATATTTTGAAAGGCATCAATCTACCGGGAAGGGGGGACATGCGCGGGTGTACTGTTTTCTGGGTGTTTCATGTTTCTTCCCAATGAGTAACAAAGTCACTGTTTTGAAGAGTGTTATCTATATAGGAACAATTTTTGGGATGTAAATTTGTTATGTCTCGGCTGTATATATTTGGGGATTTATTTTCACAATACGGATAATGAGTTCGGTTGTCACTTTAGTATGCTTTAATATTCACCTCGCCCTTCAGATGCTCTTTAGTGTGGTCGTTCATGAACCTACAGATAAGGTTGAGATTTATTATGACTTACTATGATGAAAATTTTCTTGTTAGTTATCCCATTGAAAAGTTTCTTGCTAGTTATCCCATTATCTCATCTCCACTCTATGCTGATGTTATAACTTTCTTTGTCGCCCCTTGACTTGAGATCATAATTGGGCTTTTGTTAGTAAACTCTTCTGAAATTTCTTTCTAGATTGAATTGGAATAGGTTTTTTTTTTTGGTTGCTGGTGGGGATGGGGGGGTAAGGAGCAAAGGCAAGTAGGGAGGAGAGGGGGGTAGAGTGAATTATTTTCTTTGTATATATCATTGCATATTTTACCTTATGGACTTTTTGGTGTATTGTTGTACATTGGCTTTTTTAAATTTGGGAAATTTACGTACAGACCAGGTTAAATTTACTGAATTGCCTTTTGATCCACAAATTTTGAAATTTTATGGTAAAGTTCCTCTCGTTTGAATTTTTTTTTTTTTTTTTTCAGATTTGTCCCCAGTTCGATGAACTGCATTTTTATCTTTTATTTTATTTTTTGCGGTTTTTAGGGTAGCCCAATGCCCCAACTATCGGACCGGCCCATTTTTGGGACGGTCTGAAGTTGGAAACATCGGACCGCCTTATAATTCCATTTGATGGGCTTCAATGGATAGTTTGATGTCTGAAACATTGGACAACTTTTTATTAGACAACTTTTTATATTAAAAAAAAAAGTTATGTTAGGGTGCTCACACTATAGAGCATTTTAGAATATTACTCAACAAATTGGGACACTTATATACCCTTGTTTTGTAAATGAAACATTTTTTTGGTAAGGGTATTTTTGATGCCAGCCACATGAGGTGTGACGTCACTCATATGGAGCATTAAATGCCACTAGTGTATTCTATGTGGATGACGTCACACTCGCCTTAATGACAAAAAATACCCTTGCTAAAAAGATGCTCTATGTACCAAGGTGGGGATGATGAGATGGGACATGATGCCCATTTCATGTGGCGTAAGCAGGCTACCACCTTGTGCTTTTCATGCCAAGGCAATGGCCATATCAAATGAGCAAGAGAACCAAATACACAATCCTTGTTAGATTGAGGTATTTGGCGGTTCAATGTTAGTAACACTAGATGACCCAATTTTTTTTTTTTACATGCTCCAATTTTTTAGAAATTGGACCGCCCCATTGAAGCCCACCAAATAGAATTATAAGGCGGTCTGATGGTTCCAATATCAGACTGCCCTAGAGATGGGATGGCCCGATGTCTGGGGTATCAGACTGCCCCAAGAACCACATAAAATACAAAAATTAATAAAAAATGCAGCTCAATGTTTGCAACATCGAATGGGGGCAAACTGGAAAAAATAAAAAGGCAAACAATGACCTCACTATAAATTTTTGATAATTATGGACCAAATGGAATTAGAGCTGGGTGGGTAAAGTGGAGATGTGCAACTAAAGTTTTATGTAATTATCTCATACTAATAAAGCTGAATTCTATGGGACAATTGTGAGACCAGCTTTACTTTATGGGACGGAATGTTGGGCGGTCAAGAAACAACATACCAATAGAATGAGTGTAGCTGAGATGAGGATGTTGAGATGGATGAGTGATGAGACAAGAAAAGATAGAATTCAAAGTACATGCATTAGAAAAAATTTAGGTGTGACACCAATAAGCGATAAGATAAAAGAAAGTAGACTTAGGCGGGCTGACTATGAGTGGTGCAGACCAATACTAGTGTTTCAAAAAACGGCCCGTCTAACACCTAGGCGGGCCTGGGGGGCTTGGGTGCGTTGCCCAGCCTAGGCGAGCGTCCTGGGTGGGGAGTCCCTAAGCGGTTGCTTAGGTGGGCGCTCAGTGCCCCGCCCAGGGGTGAAAATGCTCCTTGTTGAGGGGCATTTTTCATCTCTTTGCCACTAATTAAGGGGAAAAAGGGGGGTTTCGGTTATCGTGTGACCTAAACGCCTTTGTTTACCTTTAGAGAGGAAAAATAAAGTAAAAATAATCACGGTTTTACAGAGATCAATTGGGTATTTCAGAGTTTTGAAAAATCGATACAAACATCCTTTTTTTGGTTTGGATTTAGTTTTAATAATTTTTGAAGCTTATTAGAGGGTTTTTAAGAAGCATTTGAGATCGGGAAACATCTCAAACACTGAAGATTGAAGATTGAGCAAAAAGGTTAGTTAAAAATCTTCATATTTGAGATTTTATTTGTTATTTCAATGTCTTCTTCGAGTTCTTCTAGAAGTGGTGATCCAGGTTGGAATTATAGTTATGACTCGAATACAAATGACAAAAATCATAAAAGATGTGATTATTGTGAAAACGGTACTAATAGGGATATAAACCGGTTCAAAAAGCACTTTGTCGATATTAGGGGGATATTGCCTCTTGTGAAAATGTTCCTGAAACTATCAGAGATGAGGTTAAGCAATATATAAGTTCGGTAAACCACAAACAAGAACAAAAGCCTTGTCATTTGAATAAGTCAATTTCTGGTTCTTCTAGAAGTGGTGAATGGAAGTATGATTATAACTCGAAACCAAATGATAAAAATTGTATAAGGTGTAATTTTTGTGAAAATGATACCAATGTGGGTATTATTAACCGATTCTAGAAACACCTAGAGAGTATTAAAGGGAATGTTGCTTCTTGTAAAAAGGTTCCTGGAGCTATTAGGGATGAGATTAGACAATATTTAAATTTAGTAACCAGAAAAAGAAGAAAATGAGCTTTGTTATATGGAAATATCTTCTCCAGCTTTTTGAAGTGTTAATCCGGGTTGGAAATATGGCCATAACTCGAATCCGAATGACAAAAATTATATAAGGTGTAATTGTTGTGGAAATGATATTAATGGGGGCCTTTACCGGTTCAAGAAACACCTTGCTCGTTTAAAAATGTTCTTGAGGCTACCCGTACAATACTTGTTAGGAGGTGCGAGTTAGTTCAAATGGAAGACTCAAAAAGGGCAAGGGATAGGCTCAAAAGGACACGGTTGGAAGTGGTGAGAAAATATATGGGGACTTATGGCCTCTCTAAGGTTATAGCCCTTAATAGAGCAGAATGGCAGACCAAGATTAGCGTAGCCGACCCCAATTAGTTGGGAAAAGGCTTTGACGATGATGATGATGATGATAGACCAAATGATAGTTCATAAATTTAACTTGGTCTGTGTGTGAATTTCTCTTTAAATTTTTTTACTTCATAGATTGGTGGGAATCAATGCCTTTATTTCCATTATACTTGAGAATTTATTTTACCTTATCTCTTTCATTGATCAAGGACTTGATGGAAAAATATATCAATTTTGGGTTTTGTTCCAAAACCGTGGTCTACTATAGTGCCAAAAAAATGAAATTTTACAAGCACACGTTACCGTCCAGAAATAAATACAATTGAGCATTACATTCAAGAAATAAACCATGCATCCCTGTACTTTGGTATTCTGAAATTGAGCTATATATGGATATTGACTTTTTGTATCAATTATCAGGGGTCCAAATTTTAGAGCTTAAACTTTCCAATCAGTAAAAGAAGCCTTGGTCTTGAATTTGAGAATTTGATATGAGAGCATGAAATATTCTGACCGGTGGTAGTTGAAATTTTATCAGGGAATTGATTTGGGCAATCTGGACACTAACAGTTGCCCCCTTGCGGGATGCAGGTGTGCAATGCTGTTGCAGTTGCTTCTCTACTTAATGCAACTCTGGTTCTTCCCAAATTTCTCTACAGCAACGTGTGGAAGGATGACAGGTATAGGTATAGCGTCTTGCTAGAAAGCGAAAACAGATAACATAATTTCCATATTGTTATTGTATAGAAAGCATTGCACTTGCATTTTGTAGACTGAACTGCGTCTGTAGTAAATGACAAATAAGAATCTTTGGCCACCTGAAAGATACAAGCAGATTAATGCAACATAGAGTTCAAGGCAAAGACCTCATGGCGTTTGATCGATGTCAAGTCACAGTCACAAATGAGCCATCTATTTATTTCGTCCTTTTGCTTTAGTCGCTGGAGCCATTCGTTCCATCAACTTGAAAGCACATTTTGACATAATCATTGTTTTACCAATGAGTGACTCCAGTTTGATATATACATTTTACCTTGTCCTTCTAGTGTTTTTTGCATTAAAAGACAAAGGAAGGTTTATCACTGCTGGTACAATATGATTATTGGCTTAAGCATATGGGTCATTAGTGGGCGTAGTTTATAAGGTTTATTATTTATTTATTTATTTTTATTTTTTTGGCAATAACAATCACTACGGCAGTGTTTTGCACATAGGCGTCAGTTTCTTTGAACTACTTGATCGGAAGAAATTTACGTCCTAAGTATTATTATTCTATTCGCTAAATTGAGCCTTCAGTGTTTGTGTCATCCTCACTTTGCTGTTGCAAAAGTTAGCATTGTTGGCCAGATATTTTGTTAAGGGCCCCTATCAAGTTGGGCACTTTCTGGATAGTCATGGTATATTCTGAATCTAAATGATGCTTTTGTTTTTCATGTTAGCATGACCAATGTCCTTGTCATTCTGAGTGCTTGTTTGTTTAATATTTTCTTATTTGGGATTGAATTGGCAAATGCATTTGTTTTCAATAAAAAACCGGTTGATGTCTCTCACTTGTACATAAACAGTGAAATGTTAGTGTTGATTTTTAACATCCTTGTTGGAATATTGGCTGTAGAATCATTTTGAAGGTTAAAAAGAAAACAACATTAAATATTGAATTTACTCTGAAATGTAGAAACCTTTGAAGGGCTTTTTTCACTACACTAGCAAAACACTGAATGGTTTATCATTGTTGCTTTTATCTGTCGTGCATCAAATATAAAATCTTTGCCTTTGATGATCCTTGAAGTTATATTGATAATTTGATGTTTTTAATGATTACATTGCAGTCAATTTGGAGACATCTATCAAGAAGAAGCTTTCATCGAGTTTCTACCGAAAGATCTGAATATTGTAAAGGAATTGCCTCCTCGCCTGCAATCATTAGACCTAGAAGCAATTGGCAGTCTTGTGCGTCCCTTCCTGGGTTTGTTGTTTCTCTAGGCATTTAGATATCAATATGTGACCCGGTCTTAAGGAAAACGGAAAGAAAAGGCAAAGGAAATTGTAAGCGCACGTTATCACTAGAGCATTGTAGTAACTTTGTTTCATGCATTTGGGCAGATAACTGATCTGGATATTATGAAGGAGTCAAAGCCTAGTTATTTTGTCAAAGCCATCCTTCCTCTCCTAATTCAGAATGAAGTAGTTCACTTTGTTGGATTCGGCAATCGACTTGCATTTGATCCATTACCTTTTGATTTACAGGTATCATTCAAGGAGGTCCATGGCTGAACATGATATATATGTTCTCAGTGTAACTGTGCATTAGACATGCAAATGTATATTACTAAGGAATTGATTGGCATTCGAAAATACATAATTTCTCGAGTTAAGTTGAAGATGTGAAATAAATACACATGTACATCCTTAAATGTGTAAAAATGCTATTCATGTACATCTTTATACGTATAATGTAATGGAGTTACCTATCAAAAAGATAAAAAAAGAAGTATTGTGTTCTTTAGAATCAGCAGGCTTTGAGTTGCAGTAGTTGTGAAGTTCAATGAGTAATGTCATATATGCAAACATGCTGTATTGAAAACATAAAGTTTTAACCGTTTGATGACAGGTGTACTATGGAACTGATACAATGCTAGAGTTGTTTATATGAAAAGCTGAAAGCCCAAAGTGAGCAATCTCATATATGCGAACATGCTGTATTGAAAACATGAAGTTTTAGCTGTTTGATGACAGGTGTACTATGGAACTGATACAATGCTAGAGTTGTTCATATGAAAAAGCTGAAAGCCCAAGACTGTTGCATTGTGAAAATTGCCAATTTACATTTATGGAACATATTAGCTTGTGTCATTTCTTCTTGCTACTTTTCCCTGTTTGAATATTAGATCTTTTGGTGGGAAGTTATCTCTTTCATGATACATTTCTCATGTATAGGACTTTTAAAATACATTTGATTGAATCATAAGAGTTTACTAGATTTTAAATAACCAAAATGATGTTGCCTACTGGCATATAGATGCATACCTACATCGACTTAGGAGGATCATGGTATCTATCAATGTAAAATTGAGAGGCAGATGAGAGGTCTCTCACAAATCTCAAGAATTTATGTCAAGCATACACGTGTGACATTGAAGCCATGGAGTGAAAATGTTTTGGTGACTTTTGGATCTCATCATCATCTTGGCCCAAGATCGGGCTTTCTAAATTAGACCACTTCCTTGGGACCTGGGTTTGTTGTAGATGAGAAACTGTTACATGGTAATCTTACTTCATTGTTTTGGAAATTTTCTTATCTTAGGTTCAAAGGTTTGTCACATGCATAGCTTTTGCCTTTGAATAGAATGATGTTTAAATCTATGTTTTTCTGTAAATCTCTTTTGCACATCTTTATATGAGGGCATGCTAGGAACAGATGATGTTACACTTCCATGGGAATACAAGTCTTTTCCATATTTATCTAAGATAAAGTACATGCACCTAACTGTTTATTATTAATGAAATAAAATATATAGGGAATAAAATCATAAGAAATGAAATCATCAATCTTTTAGACCATTGGTTGCATAAAATGCAAAACAGTAGTAGGGTTTTCCAGCATCTTTGTCAAAAAATGCATTTGTCTTACTGAAATGATTGTCATTGCAAAATTGTCAGCCAATATGTTGCCTGTGTCTTGATAACTGAGAATCATTTTGCAGCGATTAAGATGCAAATGTAATTTCCATGCTCTGAAGTTTGTGCCTAAAATTCAAGAAGCCGGCGCATTATTGGTTCAGAGAATTCGAAAATTCAGTGCAAGATTGAATCCATTGGATGAGCAACTGATCGGGAGTTATATGCATGGGGTTCCATTGGAAGAGAAAGAGGCTTCATTAAGTCAACCCAGATATCTCGCTTTACACTTGAGGTTTGAAATGGATATGGTAGCATACTCCCTTTGTGAGTTTGGAGGGGGAGAAAATGAAAAGAAAGAACTGCAGGCATATAGAGAAACCCATTTTCCTGCACTAGTCATGCGTACAAGAAATTCGCAGTATGTGTTTCCCATTGCTCCTGTGTCTTCAATGTTAAAATGCTAAGTCATCTAAAAACAAGGTTAAAATGCTGATATTTTTAAGCAATACAACCTTATAAAGTAGGAAAAGAGTTCTTTTCAATCTTCATTTTCTCTTTCTAAGTCTCATTCTATATCTAATTGTATATGCATCATTGTTTGTTTACACTCTAGTATGTAACCGAATATATACTCTGTTCATTTGTCTTAATGAATTGTTACTTGAACAAAACGAAAAAACAAATCAAGAGGGGCAGAGTAAAATGCTGATTTCTTACTTCCGTACCGTGTTTGGGCAGTTTTTTCTTAGAATCTTTGGTGCTTCTGTACTAATACAATGGTTGCAGGGTTGCCTCTTCTGAAGATTTGAGGAAATTAGGCAGATGCCCTTTGACACCGGAAGAAGCAGCACTCATGCTTGTGGCCCTTGGTGTTAAGCGTAGCACACGCATTTACCTTGCTGGTTCTCAAATATATGGTGGTCACTCAAGGATGGTTGCCTTGACAAGCCTATTCCCAAATGTGGTCACAAAGGAAGACCTTCTTACGCCTACCGAGCTTGCACCTTTCAGGAACTTCTCATCTCAGGTAGCTCAAATTCTAGTTGATGTTTATTTTAACTATTTCTTTTTCTCTAGTTTATCTAGCTTGCGTTCTAAAGTAGTTTTTAGCTAATTCACTTATTCAAAGTGGTTATGGCCGAGGAAGCCAACTAAATTTTTTGCTTGAATATATGAATATATGGATTAGATGTGAATCCCAATTGTTTTCATGGTCATTTAGTTAGCACATCATAGTAGCATCGACCTTATAGATTGTCTGTCAAGAACATGGGAACAGTCATGAACAATATTATAAAAATGGATTTTGGTTCTAATTCACTGATGTGATAAACAACCTTGTGCTCTTATAGTTTAGGGAAATTTATTTGGAGACCCAATATAAGATGCAGTATTATAAGTTAGTCCATCTTTTGGACCATTTTATGGTGAGGTCCTCAAATTTTGAAATGTCATCTATTCCCATTTTCCCCTGGTTAGTAAATCCAACTTTTGAACCGTCCAAAACACAAAAAATGCTAAGTGTTTCGGTGGATCAAAAGTCCAGCTTTCGAAACGTTTGAAATATTAAAAACCTAGGTTTGGGTGTTTCAAAATTTGAGCTTTCGAATCCCCTAAAATAAGAAAAGAACATAATATTTCCACTATTTGAAAGTTGGATTTTCGAATTGCCCAAACACTTATTTTTTCTTAGAAGTTGGACTTCCAAACCACCCAAATACATTTGCTTTTTTGTGTTTTCAGTGGTTTGAAAGTTGTTTTTGGGGCAGTTTGATAGTTAATATTATAGACTCAGTTTTTTTGTGCTTTTGGCAATTCAAAAGTTGAACTATGGAATGGGGGTAAAATGGAAATTAAAAAAATTGAAAAATTTAGGACCTTTCCATAAAATGGCCCCCAAATATAAACCAAGTTATTATATTGGGTTCGTACGTAATTGTCCATTTAATTCAAAGATTAAAACTAAGGAACAGCCAAGAAGATGGTTTGAGAGCTTGTGTTTTGAAATTAGGCTAGTGGTTGGACAAGAGGAGGGCCTTGTCTGGTCCATTCTGGTTCTACATCTAGTACAACTAGCCTGAAGAAAGATTAAGAAATAAATGGAAAAATTATCTCTTTCCTTTCAGGGTACTTCAGCTGGAGATCCTACATTTTAAGGTCTTTATGATGAAACTATTTAATGTAACTTACCTGGCCCATATCAAAACTACCCAATGAGAAATGCATCCGCTTCACCAAGTTACAGAATATATTACATTGGGGGTTACTTACCCGGAAAACAATAGCGGTTCTTTCCACAAGATTTGTGGACTGTTCGGACTTGGGATTGCTTCAACATACTTCCCTACCATTTTCTTGTTAGTAACATAATTTACTCTCAAATGAAGTCGATGGAACCTTATTCTGCAATCAAATGAATGACCTCATGGTTGAGCAGAACCTTTGGAATTTTGACGAAAGCAATGCTAGCAGCTGACCTCTAGTCATTTTTTATTATTGAAAAGTAATTGCTCAAAGTAGGCATTTCTTATGATTTTTTTTATTGGGTGCTTACGAGAATCCCCTTTGATCACTTTGCTGTTATTCACTTTAGCTGTCACCAAGAAGTCTATGAAACTTGACGAACTGTTCCCTTCATGTCTTTAAATTTCTTTCCCAGTCAAAGTGAAACATTGACATTTAGCATGCTACCAAATTATCCACAGAAAACGTAAGAGTGATTTAGATTTGGCTTCTGGGTTGGGTGCAGATGGCTGCCTTGGATTTCATTGCATGTGCCACTGCCGATGTGTTTGCTATGACTGATTCAGGAAGTCAGCTATCATCTTTGGTGTCGGGATACAGGACATATTTTGGTGGCAGGAAAATGCCAAGCATTCGGCCTAACAAGAAGAGGCTAGCAAGGATACTATCAGAAAGTGGAAGCATAGAGTGGGTGGATTTTGAGGAGAGGGTGAGGAAGATGATAGAAGAATGCCAAAGAGTCGGAGTGCGACCTGTTGGGCGAAGTATTTATCGTCAGCCAAGGTCCCCGGAATGCATGTGTAAGGCTTAAGGTTGGGTCAGTGTCATGACCACTGGCTTAGCTCAAAAGAGCTCTCTCTCTCTCTCTCAAGCGCGCATGCACACTGGTAATCTGCATCCATACCAACAGCCAACGTTGCTGCAAAATGTGCCTTCCAATTTAATGAGCTGGACGGTCAAACCACTACACTCTTTCTCTCTCCACTTTTTAATTCTTTGAATTTGAATTATTCAGATTGCAAATTAAACCCATGGAAATCTATAGATTGGACATGGGTGCCTCTTGTATATTCGTTTTAAGAGGATTTGTGGGCTGTGCATACAATCATGTGTAATTCATTTTTCAAATTTTGGGAACGTTTTTAGTCCAAAACCGACATGTTCTATATTATGTGGCTAGTGAGATTCGTACGAGTACGCTTGATTCTCATGAGTGCATTTGATAACGAACCACGTGAGCAACATTTTTCTTGCCCGTTCTATTTTTGCTTGTCTCCATGCCTGTGATAAGTGTGGGAAGGGAGAAGGTTGCATGAAGTGTAATTAGATTTACTTTTTAATGAATGTCGTTTCTATAAGGCTTAACGCCCCATCTCAAATTTTTGGAAAACACTTAGGGCATAGGAAAGTCTGTGATGGCTGATGCATATTTTTTTAAAAAGGAGGAAAAATTACATTTTAATAACATGAGTCTCATATTGTGTGTTTTTGTTTTTCCCTCTCTCTAAACTACCCCTGTTTGGAAGCCCAATATTTGAACCAGGGTTATATCTTTTTTTTTTTCTGAAAAAGTGGGTGAGAGGTGTGGCATTGGTTGTTCAAACTGCTCCACTTACATGTTTATTTGTAAGTGGGCCAATTTAGGTATTCAATCTCCGAACTTTTGTCTTACTTAAAAAATATTATTGGGTGTTTTTTCGAAGGAAAAAAGTTTATATTAGGTTGCAATGTTATACTGTTGAAGTAAGTTGCATCTCAAAAATCCTTTAGTGGGCGAATGTTTGAACCACTCACTTGTTATTATTTTTTAAGTAGGAGAGGAGTTTGGACATTGAAAGTCTGAGTTGGCCAAAGAAAACAAAAATGGAGTCGTTTGAACGCTCAATTGATATGGGTGCTCTTAGGATTTAAGGAAATTGATATTGGTAATTTTGGAATAAAAACAATCAAATATATATAACTATGATGAAACATTCAAACCGGTTGCAAAAATGATATCAATTCGTTTTATTCTCGCTGTTGCATTTGCTAAATAGTGGCTTCTCTTCAAACTAGATGTAAATAATGCTTTCTTCTACAGATTGAGACAAACCAATTGTCCACCTGACTATTTTTTTAAACTAATAGATTAGTGGAAACCGGCATGGCCCCAAGCACAAAAATGCCCCAATAGAAGCACACCGAGTGGACAAAAGCATGCCAATAAACTATAACTAGTAGTCGTGTAGCCAAATGCATGTCGAACGACCACACACACATACCAAAGTGCTTTGCCTCCCCCTAAGGAGGGATTTTATGTCTATGTGTAGCCTATGCAAAACATCAACTCACTTCGCGAGGTGGCTTGCTCGTTGCACTTTAGAGGCTATACACACATAAAAGCACTGCACTCTAGACGGCTTTGCTTTGCAGTGTTAAAGCCATTAGAATTAGAGGGTGGGTTTGTTACATCTTGTCAAGGCCCTCGTTTAAGAGTTTGTCTCACAAACTACTCTCAACCTTTTGCTTCGCAAGAGCAAAAAACCCTCTTTTATATATATATATATA